TATGTCCCACCCCCTCCACCTGCAGGCTCCTCTGCTACACCTTGGGGGAACTGCCATGACTCTCAGGACTCCTTTCTCGTTTGCTGGTGATTTCTGAACATGTCCAGGGGAACACACTGGTCTAGACCCACTTCTGCATTGAGACCATTGGTGTTCCTCTTTGGATCCTCTGAAGTCTGCCCAAGAGAGCTGTCAGTTTTCAGATTTTAGTGTTAGGGCTACACAGGTGCGTTTTGCATCCCCCGGGAAGCCTTTCTAGCTTCCTGGCCCCAGCCCTCCAGAAGAGGGCATTGAGGCAGACAAGATGAAGGTTTACGAGTAAATGTGCCTGGGCAGAGGCTGGGAAAGTGCAAGGGTGAGCACCTCCCTAACTCAGGGCGCTCTAGTTAAGCTGGAAGGAAGCAACCTGTTAAGAGTATTCTAATCCTGGCTACAAGGTCCAGGAGGCAAGGCCAGCTGAGATGACTTCCCTAGGTTGGTGGGTTTCCTTCCAGACACCACAAACTCTAAAGGCAAGTGACTAACTTTATTTTAAGGAAGGCATCAGCACATTCATGTGGCTGCCATCTCCTTTGGTCACCTGTGGTGGTCGCTTCATCTGTGATGGCACACTTCTGGGGGGTTTCCTTTGAGAGCTTGTGCCGTTCTGCATATTTCCTGTGATGAGAAATCTCTGCCCCTCGAGTGTTAATTTGATTTTTGGATAAGATATGTGACCTCAATGAGATTTATTTTTTATTTGTAAAGTAACAAGAAAAGCAGTATCTAGAAGTTCCAGAGAGAATTGGGCAATGGCAGTGATGTCATTTTAGTAATAAAAAGCGTCTATTGAGTGCTTAATAGATGTACAACAGTGGGCTAAGTGTTTACATCTTCTTGCTCATTTAGTCTTCACAACAACTTCCTGGAATAGAAAATATCTTCTGTATTTTACAGATAAGGAAACTATAAGGAATTTGCCAAAGGTTACAGGTTAGGAGCTGGCAGAGCCAGGATTTGGGCTCCAGTAGTGACATTAATAAACTCATTCTGAAGACTAATAGTTAAAGGTTGTATAAATTCTTATTGGTTAAATAACCTATCACCTTATAATCATACCTCCACACCCTACTCTCCTGTTTTCTGTTTTGTTTTTAAATATATTTTTATTGATTTCAGAGAGGAATGGAGAAGGAGAGAGAGAGAAATTGATAGGCTGTCTCCTACACGCCCCACACTGGGGATCGAGCCTAAAACTCAGGCATGTGTCCTGACCCCGAATCAAACCATGACCTCCTGGTTCATAGTTCGACACTCAACCACTGAGCTACACCAGCCAGGCCCTATTGTACTGTTTTAAATACTAAGAATGTATAGTGCTTTGTAAACATTACTAGCTTTCTAAGAAAAACGGATATACATTTTTTAAAAAAAAGAAAGAAAAACTTATATACTTTAAATACGGTCACAGATTTCCAAGTAAACAGAGGAATGTAGGAAATGTTTTTCTTTGCAAGGATAAAGGAAAGTTGTATCCACCCCACCAGTGAGTTGGTGTATCTCTTGACTTTCTAAGGGTCTGAAGTCTGGAACTCCTTTTATCCTACTCACTACCTAAACGCGGGCCATTTGGAGAGAAGTGGAGACTAGTGCATAGCAGGTGCTCAGAATAGTTTATAACCCATGAGAAGGATGGGAAAGGAGAGAGATGGTGCCTCCGAGAGTGCCTCTAACTTCTAGTTCTGGGCAGCCCTGTCCAGATCAGAGCCAAATGGGGCCAGATGGCAGTCAGTAGGCAGCAGGGGTGGGTGGGAAGCTCCAGGTCCCCATGAGACCTCTGGAGTGCACAGCTCCAATAGGCGCCCCTGGGAGCAGTTTCTTAGACGTTGGACTGTCCTTCAGTGACTCCCAGATCAGGCGGCTTCCTTCTGGCAGTCACAGAAGGCAGTCAGTGTGCAGGCAAGGAGCTCCTGCCCAAGGACCACAGAGCCTTAGGAGCTGGGGGGAGGGGCAGATTGAAGGCACAAGAGCGGCTCTCTGTGGAGAGGGTCTTAAAAGCCACTGTGGTGCTTGAGGTTTTCTGTAAGAAATTAGTGAAGGGTGGTGCAAACAGCATTGAGATGAGGGGGTAGACGGAGAGGAGAGTTTCAGTCCCTGCCCCTACCTGGGCTAGTCAAAATTCTAGGGGTCTAGTACTGAAGACTTTAGAGAGCCGTAATGGAGTGCAGAGTTAAGTCCTGGAGCCCCATTACTAGCTGTGAGACCATGGCTAAGCTACTTAACCTTTCCCTACCTTGGTTTCTTCATTTGTCAGCCGAGAATGATAATAGTACTTCCCCGGGTGGTTGTGAGGATTCACTGAGTCTCATGTGTAGAACACTCAGCACTGGGCCTGGCACTTACAGGAAGTGGTCCACAAGTCTGTTACAGTTTTGCCCTTCCCTGCCCCCAATTGTACAGAGAACACACCTTTCTTCTGAGCCAGCAAGTATTGAGCTCCTCTATGCCATGCACTGCAAAGTGACACATGTATTCTCACTTAATGAAAGAGATAGGCACCATTATTTTCCTCATTTTGCAGACAAATTGAAGATAAGGAGTACATTGAGAGTAAAAGCTAGGCCTGTCTGCTTCCATAGCTTCATATTTTCATGTTCCAGTTATGTTTGAGTGGTACATGACTCAGCTAGGGAGAGGGAAGTGTCGGGAATCCAGATGCCACCTTAGCCAAAGGTTGTGAATGTGAATGTAGTATTGGCTTTTTAATAAACCGCTTGTTTTCTTTAGTGGGCAGTGAGGCAGCTGCTCATTAAATGAGAAACAGGGCCAGTACTGGCCTTGGGGCTTTATTATGGTGCAAAGCCAGGGAGAAGGCATGGAAAAAAGGCCAAACATTTGTTCAGTACCCCACAAGCTGGCCTTGCCTACATCAAGCCTGATTTGCTCAAAGCCCTCTGGAATGGATATTAGTATTCCCGTTTAATAGACAGATGAAATAGCCTCAGAGAGGTCATGTGACTTGTTAAGTCACCTAAACACTTTAATCCCCCTTCTTGTCTATTAACTGTTAGGAAGCCATTTCTGGAGTGGCTTCTGATCCCAAATCAGGATCTGAGCCCAGAAGAGAAGCCTCAGATTGAAGTGGTTAAACAAAGGGATGGTGTAGTGGGGAGACCCCAATTGTGGGATTGTGGCAGGCAGGTTGCCTGAGGACCAAGTGCCAGTGCAGGTGGGGATAAGGCTGGAAGAGGCACCTGCTAGGAGTCACACTGGAGGCCTGCATCCTTGCTCCCCCAGGTGCCCTGGGCACAGTAGAGCCCAGCCTGGGCACACAGGCTCCTGTCTACTTCATAGCATTCCCTGTGGGCAGCTCTGGCTCCCATGGGGCAAAGCCAGAGCTGCCAATCTTAGGGCCCCCAGTTGGGGTTCCCTGGTTAGGCTCCCACAAAGAGTAGTGCAAGTCCTGTCCTTGCCCTCCCCCTGTTTTTGGTTGGGAGCGCACTGTCCTGACCAATGGCCTGCTGAGAACGCAAGACAGAAGTTCACAGAAGGTGGCATGAAAAATGGAAAGTGTTTGCGAGGAAAGATGGAGTAGAAGTTATTTCGAAGATTGATGATGTCCAGCAAGGGAACCAAAATGGAGACTCAGGAATTAGGCTGGATTGCAAGCTGAGTGGGAAGACAGCTCCAATTGAGGTTACTGGGGCGTGCTTGCACAGAAGTTGTGGGGGCTAGGCAGGGAGTTGGGGAGTGGGGGATGCATGGTAGATAGGGGAGCGCTGTGGCAGGAAGACAGCCTGCTGCCTTACCCAGGCAGAGCCCTGCAGAGCAGAGCAGCCAGTGCAGGGTGCCCAGGCTGTCCCACTGCCCCCAGGGAAATGTGTTCCATTTCCCGTTGGTTCTCAGTTGTGCTGAACACCAGTGGGGTGAAGGATTACGAGTAGGAGGGTTCAGGGGTAGCCCCTCATCCTTTCCCTCTCCCAATCTGGGGAGCCCTCTCCATAACTGTCCTGGCTCCTGAGGGTGGGGTGGGGAGGGGAGTGGGGTCAGGGATGGCTCTGCTGCTTTCCTTGAGGCATCTGTTCAGCACATCCTGCCTCTAGGGCAGTGGTTCTCAACCTTCTGGCCCTTTAAATACAGTTTCTCATGTTGTGACCCAACCATAAAATTATTTTCGTTGCTACTTCATAACTGTTATGTTGCTACTGTTATGAATCGTAATGTAAATATCTGATATGCAGGATGGTCTTAGACGACCCCTGTGAAAGGGTCATTCAACCGCCAAAGGGGTCGCGACCCACAGGTTGAGAACCGCTGCTCTAGGGGAAGGAATAGGGAGGATTGTAGTCTTAGAGAAAGCCTGGGCTTTCCTCTTCCCAACTGCATGGTTAGGGCCCTATAGCTTCTACTGACAGAGGGTGACTCCCACTGGATGGATGGACCAGGGCTTGGGGTTGGATGATGTATATGCCAGGTCATATGGGAGCAGTAGGGACACAGTGCCAGGTTTCTGCCTGACTCAGTGCTTTCCATGATCTGTGACTCAGGTGGGGCCCAGCAACACCCATTTATTGACACCAACTCTGTGATAATCAGGGCGCAAGCATGTGCGTGATGGCTGTTTCCTTTGTTCTGAAAAGGGAATGGGGAGCAGCTAGGAGACTGAGGTCAGAATTCTTGCTCCACCTCTCCTAGCGGTGTGAGCCTGGGCAAGTATTTGCCTTCTCAGCACCGTGGTTTCCTTCTCTCCTGGGCTTGCAGGGCCATTGTGAGGCATCTGGCCCTCCAGGGAACACCCGAAAACACCCAGGAAATTTTCCCTTTCTGTGACTTCATAGAGTACTGTCACACGGTTCGGTGAGGTGGGGAGGGGTGCAGCTCTCTGGCTTCTTTGTTCCTGGCTGTAGTCTAGACTGACCTTAGGGGCCTGGGAAGGGGCTGGAAGAAGCCTGAGAGTGATACACACTTTTCCCCCACCTCTGCGGAGGGCCTCTTTCCTCCAGCCTTTCCAGCCCCAGGGAAATAGGCAGAGCCAGCGAAGTATTCTTCAGTGCCATATGGGAAATTTTATTTGTATACTCTCAAATTTTCCCGTCCAACCCTCCCATTCAGATGATTGTATGATTTCCATCCTCTGCTCACAATCTGGCTCCCATCCGAGGTCTACGCTACCTGTGAGCGAGATGTCGGTGTTAGGAGCGAAGAAGGCCTCTAGGAGGCGCTGCTGTCCAAGGAGAGGGCTTAGGCGCAGTGGTTCTCAACCTTCCTAATGCCGCGACCCTTTAATACAGTTCCTCATGTTGTGGTGACCTCCAATTTCATTGTTACAAATTGAACATAATTAAAGCATAGTGATTAATCACACAAACAATATGTAATTATGTGTTTTCCGATGGTCTTAGGCGACCCCTGTAAAAGGGTCGTTCGACCCCCAGGTTGAGAACCGCTGACTTAGGGACTGGACACTGAAATGTCTGGCAGGTTGGAGATGTGGGTTTTGTGAAGGGGAAGCTTCCCTTTCCACTGGACTCCCAAGCCCTTCACCCCCTTCCTTTCTTGGGACCTGATTCTCTCTTGGAGGGGCTGGAGTATTCTTTTTCGTGCTAAGGAACTTTTTCAGAGTACATCTTTTTTGAAACATGAATAAATAAAACAAATGGAGAGTTCACTTGGTCTGAGTGTGGCAGAGCCCTACTTGACCACATCACCTTCCCCCACATTTAGGAATTCCTAAACTGCTTACTCAGACTTCTGTGAGATTCCGAGTCATAGCAGTTTGGCCCCTCTTGAGGCCTCTCCTTCCCTAGGGCCCTAGTTGGATCCTGAGAGGCTCCAGCCTAGCCACTAGGCTGGTGTGTGGTCTTGATCAATGGTTTGCCCCTCTCTGAGCTTCCCTTTCTAGTCATAAAGGTGGGGCCTCCCAGCACTGCCAGCAACAGCCCCCAAGACTGTATTCAGGGGCCCAGCTCTGGGCCTGGCTTGAGGCCTACATCTCACCCTGGCCTGGCAGTGACGTCATCACACCCTGTATGGATGGCATTTCGGCAGCCCAAGTGATGCAGAGCAGAAGCGGGTGCAGCAGCGCTTGACCAAGCGCATGGTGGATGGCCTGCACATCACCCGGGGTCCTGGGAGGTGGATTCGCCTGGGCAGCCCCTCAAACCAGTTCCACTGGTCAGCTACTTGCAGCTGCTCCGTATCCCCTCGGTGGGGCTTCAGGAAGATGACTCCAGGGTCTCCAGTGGGTAGTTGCCTCCCCCAGGCTCCAGGGCAAGTGATCGATGTCTTTGGGACCTCAGGCTCCACTTGTTCTCCATCTGGCACTGCTGCATGTGACTGCTCGACCTTTTCCTTCTCTGGCACCCTCACCTTGGACTTCAACTTCTTAGGCTTCCCTAAGTTCTTGGACTCCAGTTTCTTCTTGGAGCACTTAGCTTCTTGGAGTCCATTATTCTGGCCCATTTTAGTGCAGACAGTGTTGTTCCTGGCAGGGAGAGGAACAGCAGTCAGTAGAGCAGGACTAAGGCCTGGTTCTCTTGCCTGCCCCCAAGGCACTGCTGTGCAGCCAGCTCAGGGGAGCCTGTGAAGAAAGCTGGGGAGGGCCTGGAAAGGAACTTCTCTACCACCCAGAGGCCTTGCACCTCTGGGCAGGGGATGTGGTACCTATCAGCAGCAGGGATGTGAGAGGTTGGGAAGGCAAAAGGCAATGACTAATAAGTTGGACACCTGGGAATATTGATGGTCTGCATCGGCCACTAGGTTAGGGTTCTGTCTGTCTGGATTTCACTTGATGGGGTGAACTAGTCCAATGTTTTGTTTTGTTTTTCAGATTGTGTTCCAAGAAACCCGAGGGTTCTGAGGAATTCCTCCTGTATCCCCTAATGGCCGGGTAAAGGCAGGAGACCTTCCCTCACAACACAACTGGGGTTTGGGGACAGATTTTGAAGAGAGGTTCTGCTGCTTTAAAAGGGTGGGAAAACAATGGGACTAGAGGACCCTGACCCTCGGGCTCAGTGTTTCCTGATTACCTGCATCTAGGAAGCCAACTCAGAGAGAGGAGCCCAGAGAGGTGGCGTTATCCAGAGTATTAAATGCTGGCAGGGATGTGTCTGTCATAGATTGGGTCCCCTGCAAAGCAGCAGCACCGCCCTAACTGAGTATGTGAAGAGGGGCGAGGCCTTGGGCTCAAGGTAATGACAATACTGATGATGATAATGGCCATTGTTGGTTGAGTGCCCATGTGTGAGGCCTGCACAGTGGGATGCAGTGAAGCAGCAGAGTGGCTTGGAGAGCACAGGCTTTTGGAACACAAGCTGGGATCAAATTCGCTTCTGCCTCTTACCATCTATGTGATGAGGCAAGAAATGTAACCTCTCAGAACCTTAATTTCCTCATCTGTAACAGTGGGATAACTGTCTACCCATAGAATTGTTGTGAATAATAAACTAAATGGGAAAATGCTTGTAAAGTACTTAGCATAGTACCTGGCACTTACCAGGTGACTAAAAAATGGAAGATTTCTTAATATTCTGTTGCAACTGATGAGGAAACAGCCCCAGCAGGATGTCTAGTCTACAGGTGAATGTCGGGGCTGTGTTGACCTGAGAGGGGGAGCAGGAGAGGTACCCTCGTGCTCAATACCCCAGGTGGTAGTTAGTCCCATAATTGCATGATTATGACCATGGTTATGATCACAGCTCTGATGATCGACAAGAATGGCTTCAAATTCTAGCTCTGCCACTAGGTCGGATAACTGGGACAAGTCGCTTCATCTCCTGAGCCTCAGCTTTTTATTAGTAAAATAGAGGTCATAAATACCTTTCTCCCAGAGCCTTTGTGAAAATTGGGTTTTCTAAATTCCTTAGCACAGTGTCTGTTCCTAGCAGAGAGAGCTGTTGGGTCCATGTGGGGCCGTGGATGGACTGAGCTCACCTGGAGGAGATCTGGAGGGCCTTCCGAACGTTGAGCAGTGAATTCCAATACCTTCTGGCCAGGCTATATAGTTCTTGGATCCGAGGGTTTGAATTCTTGAGTAGCCTCAAGAGTGACAAGTTTTTTAACACCTGCCAGAGTTGAGAAACCAGAAAAACAGATGTTTCACTCCCCATCCAGACTTTGGCTCAACTCAGCCTGGAGACCCTGGAGAAGCAGTACTGCATGGGTGCCCAGGCTCTCCTCTGCTGGGACCAAAATGGGCCTCTTACCATTCTAAGTCGGTTCCGCTCAGTTAATTTGCTGATAGGCTGCTGTATCTTGTCCTGTGGTTCCTCATCTTGCATCTGAGAGAGAGAGGGGGGGGGGGGGACGCTAACACGGAAAAAAACCCACCCCTAAATGCCTCCATTATACCTCTCCATTTGGCTCAGCATGATTTGACTAACCCCAGACTGAAAGTGTCACCTCTGTTTGGGGGCAGAACAAGGGAGACCATTCTAACTCCTGACCTCCCTTCACCCCTCAGGGCTCCCTTTCCCTCCACCTGCCCTGGTATGGTTGGACTCTTTGTAAGGCCCCTTCTAGATCCAGTCCCTAGTCCAACCTTGAAAACCACACTATTCTGGGGCCTCTTCTTTGCTGATGGACTCATACTGGGGCTGTGATGCCTCAAAGACGACAGATGGAGCAAAACTGGTACCAGGTACTGCCTGAGCCCTGCCCCTCTCAGTTCAGCCAGTACCCAGGCTGGGCATTAGGATGGTCGTGCTGCATCTCCCAGGGAGGGGAGCTGTGACATCACTGAAATGTGTGACAACAGGGCTGGGTCTCCAAGGAGTGTGTGTGGCAGGGGTGAGGGTGAGGAAGAAACGCTCACCTGCAGAGAAACCTGGTAGGTGACAGGCAGAAGCGTATATTGTTACCACCTTCCTGTGAGGTAAGAGAATTATCCCCTCTTTTTAAATAAAAAAGCCGAGGTTCAAAGAGGCTAAATAATTTACTCAAGGTCATACAGTTGGATAAAGGTAGAGCTGGAAACCTAAGGTCTGACAGTCTATCCATGAAATCAGGGGTTCCCAACTATGCTCCTCTATTCATTCATGTCACATGTGTTAACTGTACCCTGGCTACATGTCAGGTGTTCTAAGTACTGGAATAAAAGAAAATTCCTACCCTTAAGGAACTGACATTTCAGTAGAGGGCAAACAAAACAGTGTGTGTATCTGTAAGTGTTCAATCATTGGCTCTCTAAAACAAAGTGAGTGTGGGTGTGTGTTACAAATTTTACTGATAGACATCTACAATAATGAAATTTGACAATACTTTTTATTGTAAATTCCATATAGCCAGTTGGTTCTTACAGTACACTTTTCTTGACTTATGCTTAACTCTTGTATCCATAACCAACCTATGGTTGTAGTGGATGAACAAGTGTAGTTCCAGCACAAATGTTGATATTTTCATTTACACTAGGAGTATGAAAAGTGAAAAAATGAAAGAACAATGATGTTGGAATTCTACCCAATCATCAATGACATGATCAACTTATTTGCTGTATTGAATTATAGTTTTCATATACTGGAGGTATATTTTCTCATTTTGGGGTGTGTGCGTGTGTCCATTTCCATGTAACAGCTATAGACAGGACATGTTTATATTGAATCTGCATTATCAACATTTGCATTACTTTCTTAAGGCTAGACCAGGGGTCGGGAAATTTCTTCTGTAAAGGCCATATAGTTGTAACTGCTCAGCTCTGCTATTGTAATGTGAAAGCAGCCATAGATAATATGTAAATGAGTGGGCATAGCTGTTTTGCAATAAAACTTTACTTACAAAAGTAGTTGATGAGCTGGATTTGGCCCATGCAAACTTCTGGTCTAGACATCAACAAAACAATCAAACCTGATTTATCATGTTACCTATGTCTGTGGTGTAAATACGCCTTCCACCGCTGATTTTAAGCTACCAATGTGATGTCACTGAAAGCAGAGTTGAACAGAAATGAAGAATACCATACCATTATATGTTACATATTTCTACAGATGTAAAGACTCTCAAGAACATAGATAATAGTAAAAGGCAGTAAAAAACTAGAAAGTGATGAGTTTAAGCATTTTCATCTTTGCTTTTAATATAATTAATTAAGCTTGTATAATTTAATTTTTAATAATGGCTATGTTTAACAACCAGCCAGCAGAGTTCCTGAAAATGTAATAGGCTTTTGCGAGCCCTAATGAGTCAGTTCCAGCACACCACTATTCTGTCAGATGGGAATAAGTGTGTGGAGAAAATTAAACAGGGCAGAGAGGAGAGGAGAGCAAAGGTAGAAGGTTTGCTTTATTAAAAGGGTGGAATGGGAAAGATTCACCAATAAGATGAGATTTGTGAAGAGACCTGAGGGAGGTAAGGGAAGCGGAAAGTGGCAGTGGCAGGAGATGAGGGCAGAGGGGGAGCTGTGGTGAAGGGTTGGGACAGATCATAGGAGACTTTAATTTAAACTCTGGCTGCTTTGAATAATCTGCCTGGCTGGCTGCATCAGAATAGTCAGCTTCTCAGGTACCACCCATAGAGCTGGCCAATCTGATACCCATCCAAGTACGGGAATCACTTCACAGCTTCTAGGGCAGAGAGGTGTGCATGCATAGGGAGTGCTTAGCTCCACCTTTTAGTAACAATGAACCAAGACTAGATTGCAGACAGCTTCTTACTGAGGCAAGGTGGTTGGATTCGGCACTGGGAGCTGGTCCAGATGCCTCTGCCATTATGTTCTAGTCCAGACTTTTTACCCCTCACAGGCTTCTCTCTCTTCAGCTGTGCCTACTTAGGGAGTTCATCTCCATGGGGTCAGGGAGTTCTCTACCACCAGACTTTGTACCCCAGAAATGGCTCCCAAAGCCATTTTCCATATTCCATTGTTTGTTCCTTCCATCGACATGGGAAAAACCATTTGTGCAGAGAGAGATGTATCCAGTGACACACAGCTGGCAAGCCTGTAGACTAACTCCAAGGCTCTTGAGTGGAAAAGCACCACTGTTTTCCCCCCTTAGTTGTGGTTAAGTCATGTTAAGTACATTCACATTGTTGTGCAACCATCACCACAATCCATCTCCAGAACTCTCTTCATCTTCAAAACTGACAATACCTAGTAAACAACTGTCCATTTTTTCCCTTCCCCAGCCACTGCAAACACCCTTCTAATTTCTATCTCTATGAATTTGACTTTTAGGTACCTATGTAAGTGAAATTATACAATATTTGTCCTTTTGTGACTGGCTTGTTTCACTTAGCATAATGTCCATCTATCAGGGGTCCTCAAACTACGGCCCGCCGAAAACATTTATCCAGCCCGCCGGGTGTTTTGCCCCCGCTGCCTGTCCTGCTTAGCAGCTGACTTGTCCCGGCCCGCAGTGCGCATGTGTGGAATGTCTGAGGGACAGTGAACTGGCCCCCTGTTTAAAAAGTTTGAGGACCTCTGACTATGTTATAGCATAGGCTAGAATTCCCTTACTTTTGTAAAAATCGATTTGAGAGAGAGAAATATCAATCGGTTGCCTTCTGTTTTGTAGATATGGAGAGGGGGAGGAAGGGAGAGGGAGGGAGGGAGGGAGGGAGGGAGGGAGGGAGAGAGAGAGAGAGAGAGAGAGAGGAGAGAGGAGAGAGGAGAGAGAGAGGAGAGAGAGAGAGAGAGAGAGAGAGAGAGAGAGAGAGAGAGAGAGAAAAGAAAAAGAGAAAAGAAAAGAAACAAAACATGGATGTGAGAGAAACATCAATTGGTTGCTTTTGGTACCTGTCCTGACTGGGGATCAAACCCAGAACCCAGGCATGTGCCCAGACTTGGAATCATACCTGCAACCTCTTGGTGCACAGGATGAAGCTGCAACCAACTGAGCCACTACAGCCGGGCACACCTATAATTTCCTTAGAGGTCTTTTACCTGACTGAATAGTACCCTGAAGCATTGCCTTAAATCTTTCTGCAGTGTAAACAAAAGGTTTTATAGTCACATTCTCAGTTTCACTTTGGACCATGTTTTCTTGTTTGTTTGTTTTTTGCATTGTCCTGGATTTGAGCTTTGGAAGAAAACCATTTCTTAATTTTACCATCATTTCATAATTTTGCCATTTGGAGAGCTTGAGAATTTTCTGCCATCATGTCCTGGCTCTTTTATACGTAACAGTCCTTTCTTTTATTTAGTTCAGGGTTTCCCAAGCTCAGCACTGTTGACATTTGGGGCCGGACAATTCTTAGATGTGGGAAGAGGGTTTGTCTTGTGCATTGCAGAATATTTAAGTATCCCTGGCCTCCGCTAAATAGAAGCCAGTAGCAACCTCCAGCTTTGACAAGCAAAAATGTCTTCAGACATCACCCAATGTCCCCCAGGAGGCAACATTGCTCTCATTTGAGAACTGCTTTCATTTCTCTGTCTCCAGTTGCATTTACTCTAAGCAGCAAGAAGAGTTCAGGTGGCATCTTCAGCACCTTCCTTGGAAATATCCTTAGCTAGATCACTCAACTCATTAGGTACATTTTCTGCTTTCCACTTTACTGCAACACTTTATGCCACAACATAAGAATTCTTCCCCAGTTTCCAATAGTATTTATTTCACTTTCCTCAATGCCCTGACTGCAACCATATCAAAGGACTGAGGCCTCTAGTAACAGCTTTTTCAAGGCACTTTAGGTCTTTATTATACTCTTCTCAAAGTCTATTGCCCAGTTCTAATGTCACTCCCATACTTTAGAGCAGCGGTCGCCAACCTTTCGGACCTCACTGACCACACAAATGGTCCGCGGACCACCAGTTGGCTACCACTGCTTTAGAGTGCTGTGACAGCAGCCCTCTACCCCAGGGCTCAAATCTCTATGTTATCTATTGCTACACAGCAAATTATCCCAAAAGTCAGCAGTTTAGAACAAGAAATATTTATGACCTCTAAGGTTTGGCGTATCAGGACTCCTGGGAATGCACTAGCTCAGTGGTTCTCAACTTTCCTTATATGTGGGAAGAGGGTTTGTCTTGTGCATTGTAGAATATTTAAGTATCCCTGGCCTCCACTAAATAAAAACCAGTAGCAACCTCCAGTTTTGACAAGCAAAAATGTCTTCGGACATCGCCCAATGTACCCCAGGAGGCAACATTGCTCTCATTTGAGAATTGCTTTCATTTCTCTCTCCAGTTGCATTTGCCGTGACCCTTTAATACAGTTCCTCATGTTGTGGTGACCCCCAGATTAATCACAAAAATATGTAATTATATATGTTTTCCGATGGTCTTAGGCGACCCCTGTGAAAGGGTCGTTCGACCCACAAAGGGGTCTCGACTCACAGGTTGAGAACCGCTGCTCTAGCTGAATGCTCAACCTGTTTCTCACAAGGTTGTAGTCAAGCTGCTGGCCAGGGCTGCACCATCTCAGGCTCTATGAGGCCGATGAACCTGTTCCCATGTTCACTCATGTGGTTGCTGGCAGGCCTCTGTTCTCCTCTGGCTGTTGGCTGGAATCATCAGCTCCTTGCCAGGTTGGCCTCTTTGTGGGGCTGTTGACAACATAGTAGCTTGCTTCCCTGAGAGTGAGTGATCCAAGCATAGACCGAAGATGGAAGCAGTGTTCTTTTTTTTTTTAATTTTTAATCTTAAATTTGGAAGAGATATAGACCATCATTTCTGCCGTGTCTTATTGGTCGCATAGAGTAACCTTGATACAGATAGGAGAGAACTGTACAAAGGTCTGAATGAATAGAAGGCAAGGAACATTGGGAGCTCTTTAGGTGGCTGGCTGCAGCATTTCACTTTTATTCAAGATATTGTTCTAATTTCCTTTTAACTTCATCTTTGACTCAGGGAATATTTTGAAGTGTTATGTTTCATTCCTAAGTGTTGTGCTGTTTTCCAGATATCTTTGTTATTATTTATATTTTAATTTTTTTGTATAGTCATAAAACATGTTTTGTATGATTTAAATTCTTTTAAATTTATTAAACTTTGTTGTTGTTGTTTTGGCCCAGAATATGATGTATCTTGAATGTTTTGTGTGCAGTTGAAAAAAATGTTTATTTTGCTGTTGTTGGGTAAAGTGTTATAAAATGTCAATCAGAACAAGTTAGTTGATAGTGTTCAGATTTTCTATAGCATTCATTTTTTAACTGTATTACAGATTTTTCTTTTTTATTTTACATCTTTAGATGTTTAATTAATGTGTTTTTGAAGCTCTGTTTTTAGATGTATACACATTTATGACTGTCAAGTCTTCTTAGTGAATTGAACCTTTTATCATTATGTAATGTCCCTCTTCATCCCTGGTAATTGTCCTTCTTTTGAAGTACTTTTTATGACACTCTAATTTGCTTTGATTAGTGTTTGTATGGTATATCTTATTTCATCTGTTTACTTTTAACTCATATATTTCTTTATAGTTAAATTGGGTTTCTTGTAAACAGTATATTATTGCCTCTTGCTTTTATTCCCCCAATCTAGTAATCAGTC